TTGAGAGAAGGCGTGTAGTATGAGGATGGGCATGGGAGCATGAGGTCTTCGAGAAACCCTTTGAACGATAACGCCCTGGGTTTCTCATAGGGTGAGGCATGTGACCCTTGCCAAGGAATGCGTGTTTCTCATGCAGCCAGGAGCAACTGGAGATGGCGGCAGGCATGGGAGAGTGGCAATGGTGAACTGCCTCTCTGCTGCTGCCCCGCCCTCCACTCATAACGCTGGAACCGAGTGCTTTCAAGCATGGGGTACAACCAATGTGACATGATGATGATGATGATGATGTGACCGACATGCAAACCTTCACTGACATGTGATGGGTTAATAGACTTGTTTTTTCAAGCCGGATTGCAGCCTTGGGCTGAAATGCGTTTCATAAACATGCCGACCAGGATTGCAACAAACATCCAGGCCCGTCGATGATGATAAGCTAAGGCACTTGGCTTACCATGCAATGGCACTTAGAATTCTAACCTCACCTCCGTTTTCTATCAAACATGGCAATCCATCCATGTGGTCGTTCATAGACTTCTTCCTCATTCCTCCTAGCACTAGAGTTGGTGGGTGGTTGTTTCCGGATTGCAATCACAATTATTACATGGTTACAGAGCTCAAACAAAAGCGTCTCTTACTAAGCAATGCGCATCACTCCCGGTCCTGGGCCTTCCCAATTCGTCCTGCAGGCATCTGAATGAGAATGGTCTCTCAGGCTCCATTCCGGATTCCTTCAGAAAGTTGAAGGACCTCGCGGACATGTGAGTAACACACCCCAGGGAGGGAGGGAATGAGGGAGGGAGAGAGGGAGGTTTAGCCAGGTCTGATGCATGTGATGTCAAATCAATGTGAGTTGCTGACTGTTGCATTGTCAGCTAACTGATGCCTGTATGTCACTGATGCTGCTTTATTGCCATTGCCATCACAAGCAACCACCATTGCGATGAAATGACGTGCATGCTACACGTTAATGCATATGCCCTCTTCTACAATCCTCACGTTGATCCTTTTCTATATGTCTCCTGTAAACTCACATGAATCGTCCCTCCCATACACGTGCACATCTATGCTACCTCCTCAACACTCACATCAATATTCCCTTCTCCACACTCACTCGTCCATGTTCCCTGTGCACAGCTCCTTGGGGAGCAATGCCTTGTCTGGATCCATCCCATCATTTCTCGGCAACGCAACAAGGCTCACATCCATGTACCCTTCCCCCTCTCTCGCCTCCCCAGAGTGTTTCACACTATGATGGATTATACGCGTTTAGCGTATATATGCGTATCGTATATACGCTGGCGTGTATACGCAATACGCTTGAGGGTCGGATCAGGCATACGCTTTTTCGGGCAGGGAAAAAAAATTCGGGCAGGGTGGAAAAAGATACCCCCTATCTCATCTCACTAGGACGTGCCGTAGCATTTTCCTGAGTCCGATCGGCGAGTGGGGTGGGGCGGGGAGTAGTCATCATAGCTAGAGAAAGTAGTGTTGGAGAGGCTTTTCAAGTTGGAGTGCGCGGTGACACTGCTGGAAGCGGGAATGCAAGGTAGGAAATGACGGGTTAGGAGTTGGGTTGGCTGGTTAGTAGCGTGAGATTTGTTGGGGGTTCGATTTTGATAGGTTGGATTTCGTAGATAAGATGGTTTTCAATGCGGTAGAGGGGATGGGTTCAAATGCCTAGATGGGATCTGAAATTCGACATTTGAATAGCTAGATGTGCCTGAAAACTTCAAAGTCAGATCCCAGCTTGCCTAGACCGCGGATTTGCATTTCGGCTTCGGCGAAATGCTCACCAAGAAAATCCGCATCTTTTCTGCGATTTTATTTTTCCGGGCTGCCCGGAAAATTTTATGGCAGCGTATTGCGTATTCGCTAGCGTTTAGCGTATTGCGTGTATACGCTAGCGTATATACGCTAAACGCGAAGGGCCTCGAGCGTATAATCCAACATAGGTTTCACACTTCTTGCGTTGTTCCCAATTCATCTAATATCAATTCTTAGGTCATTGGAGGCAATTGCAGTCATCATTATCCACCGTCTACACCCCTCTTCTTGTCCCTCTGCCGCTCTCTTTCTCTTGCTTTCAACCACTGGAGTTTCGTACGCCTCTTTCAGATTCTCATCAACCTTGCTCTCTCCCGCCTTGTGCTGCCACGGTCTTGTTCCAGTTCTCTAGTGAACAATCAATTCACAGGACCTATACCCGATTCATTGGGGAACTTGACCAAGCTTGAAAAGCTGTAAGTCTGGTCCACAGGGCATGCAGGAATGCAAAGCATGTCCGATTGACGTGACGGATTGACGGATTGACCGATTGACGGATTGAGTGAAGCAAGGCTTGGGGTGGGGGGAATGGGGGAGGGAGGGGGGACAGGAGTGGGGAGAGGGGGGAGGGGAGGGCGGGGGAGGGATGGTTTGGTTTTTGAATGGAACATTCATGGGAAGCACGAGTATTGGGCCATTATGTGAAATTGCTACGCTGGATAGATCTTAGGACCTCTAGTCGTACATGATGCCAACCGTGGCTCAGACTAGTCTAGTCTCTGGAGATCCCTTTGATCCTTACCCATGTACGCATGCATTGATGCACACACGCTGCAACCTTGCCCTCTGTGTAGTTTCCTTTCCTCTCACAGCGCCTTTCACTCGAGAATTCTTGTTGTTCTTATTTCAAGTTAACATTTAGTCACATGACATCTATTAACGTTTGTACTAACAATGCCGGTTTGTGCTTCTACCGAGACAGACCAACCCTTACCCTTCTGCCACCTTGTACTTTGTGCCCTCTACTATTCCATGCAGGGACCTGGGTGCCAACTACTTATCAGGGTCCATCCCAGCCACCTTTAGCAACCTCCGGGCCTTGAAATTCCTGTGAGCTCAAACGGAGGAGGAGGAAGTCAGATTTCGTATGGCCAATGAATGGGAAGAAAAGAGAGAGCGACAGGAGTATGTTCTGAATGAGTTGATGCCTAAAGATGGAAAATCTAGGTTATTGGAACAAGGGATGGGTAAGCAATTGCTTCCTGTTTGGGGAGCACGTGGGGGCTTGCCTCTAGCGGTGAGCCCGTCAAGAGAATTCTCTCTCATCCACACAGTATCTTCATGTATTACTATCCCCCTCCTCTCCCCCCTCCCCACCCCTTTTCTTCTCCCCCGCATCCTCCATCCTCTCGCTCCTGGTTTTGCTCCTTATTCTTCTCTTGCTTGGGATCTCGCCTGCACGCAATGCTTCTCTACTCGGCAGGTATTTGAGCCCCAACCAGCTGAGCGGCACCATTCCGTCCTCTCTGGGCGCCCTCTCTGGGCTCGTCCACCTGTGAGTTATCTCAAGTGTAGGATTTAGAAATTTTTGTGCACTCCTGTTGTATCAGTATTGACGTGGGTAAGTCACATGTACACAAGGATGGATGGGTATACAAGGCCGCAAGGCATTCACATGTACTGGGATTGTTTTGTGTGACATTAATGCTCGCAACAACCAATAATTGTAAATCCACAAGCTTATCCCCATTTCCACAACCGCGGTGAAATTTGCTGCACGAACGGTAGGTTGCAAAGGCATGTATCGCATTCAGTTCTGTAACGAAGGGAAGGGAAAGAAGACGGGCCTGCAGTACAAAATTTAGCAGTCCTTAGATTCAAGACACAACATAGGTATTAAGGGATCAAGCATTTAACGCACTTGTCAGATTGGATTGGAGTACTTTCTTTCCTCGGTTAACTAGTTACTATGATAATTATCAAGGAAAATCGAGGTATACAGTAAGTCTCACCCGCTCTTCGCTATCCTGCTTACAGCCAAAGACCAGGTGTTGAATTCTTGAGCACCCGGATTCCTGCATGCAATCCCCGTTTCCAGTTGCCTAGGCCTGAGAAACACGTCCCTACCGTCCACACCACCCCTACTGTCTGTCCTCACCTCTGCCATCATCCATCCACCCCTCCAACCCTGGTTCCTTCCGGTGTTGTTCTTTCCCCTGCCCCCTTGCCCTTACGCTCTCATGGCTACGCCTCAGGCTCTTGAACAGCAACCAGTTCACAGGGCAGATTCCAGCGTCGTTCAGCAATTTGACCAATGTGCTGGCACTGTACGTTCTTAAGCTACGAAGAAAGGGATGTGTAGCAAGGCAACAACGCAACAACAGAGTATAAGGATTCTAGGGGACGATGGAAATAGAATTGAAGTATCCCTGTGCTCGCTGACACCCCTCCCATTGCAAAGTTTCATGTAAAGCGTGTGAGTGCTTGCTTTCTACCCACAGATTTCTCTACTCCAACCAGCTGAGCGGCTCTCTCCCTTCCTTCTTGGGCAACCTAACATCACTCTATCAGCTGTGAGTCCCCTCTTGTACGCTTCACCATGCGGATATACCACGTGGAAAAGTCCCTGTACTGCATGCCTGTGGATATTTGAGGATGTGTGCCCGTGGCTGTGCATGACATGCATTCTGTTCGTCCAGTAGGGCCACCACGAGGGCCACGCCTCGAGGAGATAACAGCTGCAAGGAAACGTGGTAGATCAATATTGTTGGTGGTTCATAGCGTACAACCAAGACAAACGTTAAGAAGTGTCTTGATGAGAATACTACTTTGTGCATTGACGCCCTGCCAGTGCCACAGTCATGGCTCCTCGTATCCATTTCTGCACACAGCTTAGTCCTCCTTCGCCTGCAGACTGCTTCCGCCCTCCAGAGCTTTTTTTTTACCTGCTCACTCACCTCACCTCGCCCTTCTCATTTATGCTGCCACTGCCATGTTTCAGCTACATAGGCCACAATCAGTTCACAGGGCAGATACCTGCTTCTCTAGGCAATCTGACCAATATACTGGCACTGTGAGTCCAAAACACATAGGAAGGGAGGGCCCAGCGCTACAAGTTGTTTGGTGCATAATGTGTGTGTTTCTGTTGTCACCCGTTTTTTCTTGAACGAATTTCTTGCTGAAACTCTCCCCACTATTAAGCACTTGTTCCCGATTCATCTAATATATTTTTTAAGGTCATTGGAGGACAACTACTTGACCGGTACTATACCAACTACACTGGGGAAATTGTCATTCATGGCTCTCTTGTACGTTGAGTGACTTATCTCTTGTGCCAGCCTTTTGATTTTTCGACCATATGTCTCCTGCCCGTTGCTGTAGCATTCTCGATGTTTTCCTCTAGCTTTCTGCTTCCAATCTCCGTTCTCTCCACTTTACCCTAGACTAAGCTTTGTCCATGTTGATGTGCCTTTTCATATATTACCTTCCCTTCGATGTCCAGTGGCATGGCACCCAACGCCCCTTTTCCTTACGATTCTGCATTAAGAAATGAGCATTACCCAGCCAGATTTGCACCTTCGATGCCCTAACCTCTCTTAGTGCCTCTGACCTCTCTTCAGGGATCTGAGTCAGAACTCCATATCAGGGACTATCCCGGCCATCTTTAGCAACCTCCGGGCTTTGAATTACTTGTAAGCCTAAACAGCACACGATGGCATCGGTACGTATGAGAGTGGAGGGAGGTAAGCAAGAGCAGAAGTGAACCAGAGGGATAAGGGATAAAGGCACCTCTGTTTCGATTTTTTTTCTGATAAGGCAAGCAGCAGAAGTGTGCTTGCAGTTTCCTATAAGGGTGACTAATTACCCCCTGTGGCACCTCTCATTTCTTTGGAACCTGCACTTACTAAATATCAAGTTAAATTGTTTTCCGAAATCGTATCATTCTCCTTGCATTGTGTCCTCACATGTGAGGTGAATTTCCATTTCCCCTCAGGGCGTTGAACTCCAACCAGCTGAGCGGCACCCTCCCTTCCTCCTTGGCCAACTGCACTTCCCTCGGCTTTCTGTATGTTCACCTGCTCGTACATCATGCAATGATCCAAGGACGCATAGGCTGTATGCGGCATAGCCATGGCATCCGTGTAGCTCCTTCATGGTTATCTTGCCCTTCCCTGTGCCTCTCACTCCCCCCCAGCCTGCTCAACAATAACCAGCTCTCAGGGTCTGTTCCGGACACCCTATGGAAACTGTCCAACCTCCAAAAGATGTAAGTTTAAAATGATATGATAGACCATTGAAAAGGGGTTAGCTGATTTAATAGGACTACATGCAATGCAGATTTCGTAAGGGCAAAGTGTTTGGTGCAACGGTAGGTATTTCCCTTTGTGCTGTGAGATGTGATCTCTTATGCATATGAGATGTTTGTTGCTGACAGCTACTTTAACACCAACCAGCTGGGCGGCTCCATTTCGACCTCCCTGGGCAACCTCACTGCACTCACGCACCTGTGAGTTACCTTCTGCACAATTCTCCACCTCGTTCGTACACCACTCAAGTATCTTTGCATACATGCATCTGTGGTGTGGGTGCGTTGCGTTCTGTTGGTAGGTGCTGTCCGATGTCCACAAGCCACTGTTTCCCTGTTGCCTTGTATTGTACTACAAGGTCAAGTATGGGACATTGGTGCTTTAGTTAATCTTTGCACATAAGACACAATACGGTCGGAAAGAAACATCCAAACGCGTTTTGCAGACCACGTGTTACTAGGCTGTACCTGCGAATATCAAAGCAGAGCTGCGACTATCAAAGCAGAGCTGCGACTCATCTTGCACATTGACACATGATAAGCTCTCAGGCCTCCCTTTCTTCTGCAAATCACACGGTTGAATTTTCTCATGCATGCAGAGATGTGTATGGTGAAATATCATGCTTTGGGATGCTAATGTACACTTCCAGGACTACAATGGGAGAGTTAGAAAATCCTACTACTGGTACTGGATTGGACCCTCAGTCACCTCCTTCTTTCTCCTCCTTCCCTGTGTCCTTACTCCCTCCTCATGCTGCTATGGCACGACCCAGCCTGCTGCACTACAACCAGTTTACAGGACAGATACCTGAGTCACTGGGAAAACTGACCAACCTTCAAGCGCTGTGAGTGTGGAGTATACACAGTTTAGGGTTTAGGTATGTGAGTGTTGACCATACAGCACTGTGAGCGAGGCTGCAGGGCGTGAGGCTACGTTACCAATGGAGGGAAATGGAGTCTGACAGAGGAAATAGAGGCGGGATAAAGGCATGGGTACAGAGTCTACAGAGGCTGCAAAACTTGTAATGGTGCTATAAATTTCTCGCGTGGCCGAGTTTCCTTCACGTCCCTTCATGTTCGGTTACTACTCTTCTTATGTGATGCCTTAAGAGCTTTTATCCCTTTCCCAAGTTATTATCCTTTAAATATTGACTCTTCTGTTGACCTCTCTCCACTATCAACCATCTCGTGTCCAAAACAATACACTTTCACAGGTTACTGAAAAGCAACTACTTCACGGGAACCATTCCATCTACATTGGGCAAGTGCACATCTATGTATTACATGTACGCCTGACCCTTTGCATCCATGAGAAGAAGGTTCTTTGGAATTCTTGTGTCACTGGTTGATTTTTATCTTCCCTTGGTGACATTGAATGAACCCTCGTTTGTTTCCGAGCAAAACAATCTACCTTAGGGCTAAATTCTCTGCTTCAATCGTGCACTTGTTTGCTGTGGAAACCAGCCCTTGATCTTCATGCCTCGACTGAGGTACACCAGGCCCTTTCGTGATTCCTATACTCTTCTTCTGTATGCAGGGACTTAGGCATCAATCAAATATCAGGGCCCATCCCGGACACCATTGGCAACCTCCGAGCCTTGCAGTACTTGTAAGCTCAAACCGAGGACGATGGACTTGGTAGGTTCGGTAATGGGGAACACAGCACAAACGGAAGAGAGCGAGAGGAGGATTAGAAACGTCCACACAGACCTTTCTGCGCAATATTTGGGCACTCAGAAGGCGCCGTTCCACAGCTTTCATGCCCCTCCACTTATATGGTAGCATTTCACCTCTGTTGTCCATGCTTTATGCCGCTTATCCTTGCACCCTGCCTCATGGAAAGGAACCTCTGATGCCTGTTAAGTACACTCCCTATTGCCCACAGATATCTGAACTCAAACCAGCTGGGAGGCACCATCCCCGCCTCTATGGGAAACCTCTCTTTGCTAGTCGATGTGTAAGCTTGCTCCTGCTTGTAAATCATGCACCAAAAGAGGCAAAGCATTGAATGGACATGGTATGCATATGTATGCGATGAGAGCATGTCTGTTACAAGTACGAATTGGTCTTAGGTGCCACTCATGGCTCATGGCAATCCAACCCAACTGTTCTTTGACTTTCTTGTTTCTGTAATTACTGAACACATACTTAAAAATCAGTCTCACTCTGGCCCACCTTGAAGTGCTTGAGTAGACTATTTAGTGGGGGAAAAGCCTGAAAAAGAAATAGCTACTACCAGTGTAGAAAAAAGGATGTAGGGGAAAGTGTGCCTTAGAAAAGGAGACGGGATGCCTACAGAATGCTCCGTGAGTTTGTTGTGACCATTCTAATCTATGTATGTTCTGTGTCAACGTTGCCTACAGTTTATTGAACTCGAACCAATTGAACGGCACCATTCCTTCCTTTCTAGGCTCCCTCTCGGCATTGACTCGATTGTGAGTAAAAATGGTTCCACACGGTATTCTTTGTGCACCAGGTCAAGGGGACAGGGACGGCTCAGGGATGGGTGAATGAGGGGTCAGGGAGAGCTTGGCTGCATGTTCAAGAAGGCGAGGGAGAGATGATGGGGAGAGGGAGAGGCAGGAGGGCGTACTGAAGACGTTGAGAGTTGATGGTACGGAAGACGACGACTACGGTGATGCACGACTATGGTGATGCCGGAATTGCTGGTACTAGTATGACCCTGGCACTTTCATAACCTCAGTGTTTCTTCTTTGTTTCCCCCAATGCTGCCACCACATTATTCCAGAGTTCTCCAGTACAATTACTTCACGGGGCAGATACCCGAGTCACTGGGCAGTCTGACCAAACTCCAAGTATTGTGAGTGAGGATAACCACGTTGGGCTATGGGGCAGATTGAGGGAAACAGAGGTGGTCCAGAGGGACAAGGGCTGGTAAAGCATGGGTACAGCTAGCCATCTTGGTTGTGTTTTTCCTGTCCCATGTTTACTCCACATGACCATGCCTCCAGCTGCTAATTTATTGGTTTCGTTTTTAAGAGGGCGTCCATTTGGATATTTGCAGCAAGGCCAGGAACGCTGCGATCCAAACTACAACCACACATACAAACTTCCAAATACATCACAATGTTTGCAGTTCTGTAAAATACAACCGCTTGACAGGAGTTATACCATCATCATTTGGAAACTGGGCGACTATGACCTACTTGTAAGTACAAGGCAATCTACTGTCGTTGCTTCCTATTGTCTTGTCTGTCACATCTTTTCAGTCAACACTGTTTAGTTTATCAATATACCACCAAACTCTCATTCTGTCTATCCGTAACAATTTGGCTTTTAATCCAAAAACAGCCACTTTAGTGCCGCTGCTCAGCTAGACTGGCCTGTTGGCGCCTCCTTTTCCTTTGTAATCCTCTCTGCAGGGATTTCGGTGTGAACAACATTACAGGGTCCATTCCTGACACCTTCAGCAACCTCAAGGCCATTAAGTACCTGTGAGCTCTATTCTTGGATGACAGAAGCTGGCAGATACAGAGCAAGAGTGGACGAGAGGATGCTAGATGGGTGAGTTTTTTAGTGCAGAAGTTGGTTATGGGGTAGGTAAAGTGACAGATTACACCTTGCTTGGCTACTGCTGACTGATCCTTTTCAGTGCATTTCACCACTCTCATCGCCACCTGCAATCAAACCACCCAGTCAAGCCAATGCGGCTTTTCCTCCATTTTACTCTGACTTGACTGTGTGTACACCTTGTAACGACTACAGATATGCTTACACCAACAAGCTGACGGGCAACCTCCCTTCCTTTCTGGGAAAACTCACTGATCTCGTCCATCTGTGAGTTCCAACCAGCCCACTGATACACGATACAGGGAATAGGGAGTTGTTTCGCTGGTCTGTGTATGCGCATGCGTTGTGATTGACATGACATAAGCTGAGCCAAGAGATTCATAGCAGCGAAGCCAAGTTTACTGGATAAACCTTGGGCCGATTCGACTCATTCGGTCTTCTTTCACCACACATAAATTGCATGGCACATTACGCTGACTTGTCTTCAAGTTACAGTGTATGTCACTTCTTTCTTCCTTATGTCAAAACTTAGGCTTAGAACTGATACATTAGTAGTGAGCTTGAAGCTCTTTAAGTACATCCAAGAAGGGCAAGGAATGGATGGGGAAGGAAATCGGGGGCAATCCCTAGGGATTGGGGGTAATCCCATGGCAATCTCCAATTGGTGGGTTGGAGATTGCTTGGAGATTACATTTGGGTTTGGTTGGGATGTAGGTGTACACCCAACCAAACACAAAGTGCAAACTACACTACTCTAGGATATAAATATATAAAGTACAAAGTGTGAGATTGATGGCTAACACTAACACCTTACACTGCACGCAACGTCTATAACGATATAACATCACATCTACACATACTTTGAAAATGTGTGTGCTCAAGGGTATCGACATTTTGATTGAAATGCACTACTAAAAAGGAAAAAACAATGGACATTTTTTTTTTAACCACATGTGACTCCTTCCAGCAAACAAGCACCTTTCTGACAACAAATGAGGTCATGGTTGCTCGAGCATCAAATGCAAGGCTCTAGCTCCTACTACACAGCTTGCATACAAATTAGTCCATGCACTTCCCTCCCCTTCATCTACCAAATCATTTTGGACCTCAACCGTGCAAAGGTTTTATTACAGAAAGGATAAACATGTGCGTTGGCGGATATGGAGTGAAGCACCACCAAATGTACCTTAAAGCGCAATGCCACTATCGCACCCATTGATTCCGGGTCTTTGGTTATGAGGATACCACTAGTAAATATTTGTGAAATGAAGTGATGTGCTCGTATTACTACAGCAGCTTCCTGTTCAGAAACATAGGATGAAACAAGGTACGTTGCAACATCATGCTCTGAGTGGATCTATCAGTGCCGCTCTCTGCAACACCGTCGTTTCAAGCCCTGCCATTTCCACACAAGTTTTCCTGTCGTCTCCTAGGGGTAAAGGCTGGTATTTCTTAATATGCGCACACTTCTTACATTGACACCACCTCTTCTATCCGTGCCTCTCTGAGATCCTGCTTCAGCCCCTGCCTCATTCATGTGTATCTTGTCCTCCCTGTGCCATTCCACTCCCTTTGTGTTCTCGTGGCCATGGCTCAGGATCATATTCACCAACCAACTCTCAGGGCAGATTCCAGAGTCCCTTGGCAACCTGGCCAGCCTTGAAGTATTGTGAGTGAAAAATCCAAGTGCAAATGGCAAACAGAGTTGCATGGGATATGTTCAAGGAAGGAAGGCTTAAGGTGTGGGAAGAAGGCACAAATAAGGAATGGCAAACTGTTGCTATTGGAAGCGTGCATTGATGGGCAATGACGGGCCTACACTTTAACACCTCTTGCTTCTACACTCCAACAGCTCTTGCTTTCTTATGAAGAGGATATTCTGTCCGTCCTCATAATGCACACTCCGAGTTTCTCATATGTATTATCCACTCCCAGTTTCTCTCCTCAGACGCCCTTTGATTGGATCCCTGTTGGTTCCTCCATTCCTGTCGTGATATTCTCTCCAGGGAATTGAATTTCAACAACTTTGCAGGAACTATTCCTGCCACTTTGAGCAACCTCCAAGCCTTGAAGTTTCTGTAAGCTCCAACAGAAGCTAGTAGAGGTCAAGTCAGGGTTTACCTATGAGAGCTCATCCATAGGGGTCATGGAGTAACAACACGAGGAGTGGAGAAGGATGCTGTGTATTGAAAAGGGAATATTGAAAATGCCTATCGCGGCTCCTTCGGGACTCACACTTTCAAGCTGACACTTAAGAGGCAGTCTCACCAACTAGTTGCTCGTTCTTGTTGCTTACGGTTTACCTGGAGCATCTAGGAGAATGATTCGCGGCTTCAAGTTGCTGTGACAGCACATGTGGGTAAGGGGAGACTACGATAGAGGGGAGAGAGAGCAGAGACAACAGGCGAGAGATTGATAGTAGGCACAGTGTTTGAGATGGGAGGAACGAAAGGAGCTGACACTGAAAGCTGACACAAGCACGCGGTGCTTCATGAACTGACACAAGCTGACCTACTTGGCTGGGTCATGGCTGGTCGTGCCTGAAAGTAATCTTACACGGGTTATTTCAGAACCAGCCTGACAGGGAGACCCCCCCACACTGATTTCAAGCGTGACCCATTTTCACAACCACAGTGTGCATGCGTTGCATCTGCTCTTCGCTGTCGCTTCATCCAACAGCCCATTCTTTGCCACCCACAACCGATGTGGCTTCCAGACAGAAGGATATCTGACTCACCTTCTCCCACCTCCACGCCACAACTCCTCCCTCTTTCCTCCCACACTCCGTCCCCACAACCTCTCGTTGTGTCTCCTGCAGGACTCTGGGGTACAACCAGCTAGTGGGGATGTTGCCGTCTTTGGAGCTCATGTCCTCACTTAAGTTCATGAACGCAGGCTACAACTTCCTCACCAGTGTAGCGGCTCCCACAACAGCCTGCCCCACGTACCAGCTTCTTCTGCAGTTCAACTGCTTTCCCACCAACCTGACCATGTGCGGGGTCCAGCAGTACCAGAAGAATGCCACCTCGTGCACGTCGTTCTGTGGGAACGGGCCCTCCAGTCCGCCCTGCAGTGGCCATGGCGTGTGCTCCTACTTGCCCCCGAGCACAGATGCCACGTGCGCTTGTGACTATGGCTATACGGATGGAACCGCCAATGGCACATGTGTTGCACAACAAGGTATGAAATCTCTAGTGCAATGATTTTATGCGATCTCAGGGGGATTGTTTGAGTGACAACGCTAATCAAATACATCTCGCATTCAAACTCCTTACGTGGCCGTCCATGTCATTATGAGGCATGTGCTTTTCACACAAACTTCCCTCATGCCACATTACACACCATCCCCATTTCCCACCTCTCATCTCTTACCCCATCCCTTAAAATTCAACCATATGTGCCCCATGCGTTGCCTCCCTCAGGACCGTACCTCCCTCCATACCTCTCCTCCTACTCACAACCGGTGAATTTGTTCCAGACGGCCTCTTCTGCCCCCAACGGCTCCATCTCTCTCTCCTCTGCATCGACCAATGCATCATGGGGAGCAGCCTTCATACAGAGACCCATCACACTATTCTTCTCTACCACAAAGAAGTCACCCTGCGACTTGCCAGTAGCCTTTACGGTTTCGTTTGCATTCCGAATGACCCCTTCTTCTGCTGCTGGTTCATCCACAGCAGGCGAGGGCCTGGCGTTTGTGGTGACGTCTGCTGCACCGCAGGGGGCTGCTGCAGCGGGGGTGGGGCTGGGAGGGGTGAGGAAGCGGAGTGTGGCGGTGGAGTTTGACTCGGTGCTGAGTGTGAAGCACAGCGACCCCAACGACAACCACGTGGGCGTCAATGTGGGCGGCTCACCTGTGTCCCTCGCCTCTGCCACGGCCCCTCTCATCCTCAACGACGCCCACACCAAGCACGCCTGGATCCACTACGACCCCACCAGCGGCGGCACCCTCCGAGTCTTCCTCTCAGCCTCCAGGCAGCAGCCGTCCAAGGCTGTGCTGACGGCGAGAGTGTCTCTCTGCAGCGCGCTCAAGCCCACCGTTGGGGATTCTTCCTTCCTCTTCGGCTTTTTGGCAGCCTCTGCAAACAACACTCAGGGACACGACATACTGTCGTGGACGATTGTCACTGGTGAGTCCAAGGCTGTGCTGACGGCGAGAGTGTCTCTGTGCAGCGCGCTCAAGCCCACCTGGCAATGCCTCCTTCCTCTTAGGCTTTGTGGCAGCCTCTGTAAACAGCACTTAGAGGCACGACATTCTGTGGTGGAAGTTGGAACATCACCACAGGTGAGCGGAATGATGTTTTTGCGTATAGAGCATCATACAACGCTGTTGAGAATTCAACTAACTAACTTCACATACAATGCTTTTCTTCATGATGCCACCTTTCTTGCTACCGAGTCACTTGTAAATTCTTATCACCTACAGTGCGTGTGTGTGTGCTCGTGTATACGTGCGTGCATGATTGTGTGTGGGTGGGTGTGTGTGTGTGTGTGTATGTATGTTCCTTTGTGTGGGGGGGTGTGCGTGTGTGTGTGCGTTTGTGTGTGCGTGTGTGCATGCATATGTCAACCGATCTCTATGTGCACGTGTACATATGTGCAGAGATGCCAAATATAAATGTGGAATGGCCGCATCAGAATCCCGGTAAGAGCGTCATCATTGCCTTTCGTTTCCCACGACACACAATAGGATCTTAAGCAATCTCTTATAGCCTTAAAAGTAGTGGCTTCCTTTTCCAAGTTACTCATGGTTCATTCAAATATCAACTTCTAATCTACTAACTCTCCCCTGCGCGAACCAACAGGTAAATTCGGGCAGGTGGCATCAAAGGAAGAGGTCACAGCCAGCAGCGAGATTGTGCTCTCTTCGTTCCACTATGCCAGCCTAGCCTTCCTTCCCGATGCGGATGGGCTGCCTTCGTGGAACCTCCCTTCCTTTGTCTCGTGGATGCGGGATGAGTCAACGTGGCCCGTCAAGAACCAGCATGGATGCGGTATGGCATGGATGCGGTATGGCTTAGACGGGGTATGGTGTTGCATCAATGCTGTAGGGTATGGCATGCTTGGTGTTAGGAATTGATATGATATGAAAAGAATACCAGCATTTTGTGGACGTATGAAGGCACAAAATGGCCGTCGTGTTATGCATTGGCTATGTTCTTTGCTCAAGCTTGAGCAGCTTGCAACGAAAATCATACTCCGTCAGCCTTCCAAACTGTTCTTTACTCTCCCGTGCTCATCACAGCCCCCAATCATTCCCCTTCCCCCTCTTTAACACTCTCCTCCCCCACGGGCCTGCAGCCGACTCCTCAGCATACGCGGTGGTGGCGGCGGTGGAGGCAGCCTACAGCATCGCAAGCAACTCGTATAATCCCCCCCGGCTGTCGGTGGACCAGCTTCGGCTGGCCCTGTCGTCCAACTGCGACGACATGCCTCCGCGCGATGTGCTGGCCTTCCTGGTGGCTGCCACGCGCAAGGGAGGGGGGCTCGTGGATGACGCAGCAGCAGCAGCCGCCGCCAGTCCACACAGCATGGCCTCCGCCGGCCGGCGGGAGAGACTGGCTGCGGTGAGTCGCAGCGAGCGGTGATGATGAAGTTGCACACAAGTTGTGACGATTAATGATGATACATGTGATGATGAATGATGTTGCACGCGAGTGTTGAACAGGAAGGCACTCGCAGCACACACAAAAACGCTTGAGAGCCCTCACACCCCACCCTCTTCCGCTTTGGTGTTGCAGAAGGTTAAGTACTACGGAATTCAGGGTTTTGAGGAGACCTCGTTTGGAGGCTGGCTAGGCCTTCTGTTGGCAGTGCAGCGGCAGCCAGTGGTTGTGCGAATTGAGGCGTCTGCTCCCTCATTCCTTGATTACGATGGGGTGAGATGCCATTGACCTTCACACCATGGCTATATACCAGGGAATGGAATGCTTTTGATTCATTAACATTTGAAAGGCCACGGTTGTTTCGAGTGACCAAAACTATTGCATACGTGCATCCCTTTTCCATTCCATCTTTCGTCTCAGACACTGAAGTACTCTGATGCCAGTTGCTTCCAAAATGGAGTGAACCACGCGGTTCTGGTGGTGGGATATGCTGTGAGGCAGGACCTGTCTAGCCCTTTCAGCCTGCCTGCGCCACTCTGGATGATCCGCAACTCATGGGGCAGCGAGTGGGGGGCTGCAGGGCACATGTACATGGACATGCAGAGCGGGCCGGGTGTTTGTGGCATCAACACACTGCCAGGCATCTTCCCCATCCTCCGATGTACGTACAGATGACTGGGTTCATGGAGTGTCTCGTGTGCTCCTGTTCCTACCACATGTGTCCCTACTAGTACCATGCGTGCCTCAGGTGCGAATAATACTGGTGTTTGTGCCATGTGTGCTGCTCTTTGTGCCTTTCATGTTGCCACTAGTCCACAATTCACTGGTCTCACGTGTCGTACTATGTTCCATCACAGGCCCTATCTACACAGCTTCTCTCATCTATGTTCGTGTTAGCCCTCAATCTCAACTTTTGTATTTGCACTTTTTATATCCTAAAGTAGTGGTAGTTTTACACGTGTTGGTTGGGTGTACACCCACATCCCAACTCAACCAAATTGTGATGAACTGAAATCTCCAACCCACCAATTGGTGGAGATTTGAGCCGATCTCCTTGAAATTGACCACGATTCCCTCCCCATTCATTCCTTGCTCATATTGAATGTACTTAAAAAGCCTTGAGCTCATTGCCAATGTATCAGTTCAAGTTCCAGCAATTAAAATATGTATGTGGTGCGTGGTGCATTCATGGCAGCTACTGCTGACCCATGTGGCAGCAAGTCAGTGATGCTGGCGGGCTCACCGGGAGTGGCAGGGAGCAACGCGTTCAACCCATGTGGGCAGTTCAAGTGCTCCAAAGCCGGAACATCCAACCGCTGTGCCTGTGCTGCTCCCCACTTCGTCCAGGCCTCCCACCCCGACGGCTCCAACACCTGCGCCTATGGTGAGCCCATCACACCCTCGCTCTCCCTCACACTCTTGTGACTGCCCTTTCTCATTCAGAACTCACTTCAACACCTCCTTTCCCCTCCCTGCCCCCCCTTGCACTTTTCTACTTGCTTTTTCTCGTTCATAACTCACTTTAAATGCATCTGCCTTGCCTGCCGCTGCCAGTGGACGCCTGTGGGCTGGCAGGCAGCAACCCGTGTGTGGTGGGCACGTGTGTGAACGATGGCAAGGGCAGCTACTCCTGTGTGTGTCCCCCGGAGTTCGTTCAAAGCACCACAGCCAAGGGAACATTCTCCTGTGCTCCAGGTATCATCCATCCTCTTCAATCCTCTGCTGCTCCATTCTCCCTCCTGCTTCTCATTCTGTTTTGGCTGGCAAGGATCTAAACACCATTATGTTCTGCCTATCATTGTGTCATGAAATCCGGGTTTACGAGGAAATACAAACAGTACGTGTTTTGTGTTCGAGAGAATGTGGCATGCTTATCTTCCATATGTTATTTATTCTTACAAAGTGTGGCTGGATAACGGATTCTAATATGGCATGATATGCGAGTATAATTTTGTGCTGGTGCGCATACTGTGCCGGGTATGGCAGGTGACAACAAGGGCAGCTACACGGTGCGTGGCAGTAACGTGTGGTGCTCTCACTTGATGGCCATGCTCGAACTCACCGTGGCCGATATCAAGCAGCAGAACAAGGTCGGTTGCATTGCATGTTTATCAGGCACTCAACTCATGTGGTCTTCCACTAGAGCTGGCAAAACAAGTCACATCTTTCCACTAGAGCTGGCACAACAAGTCACATCTTTCCACTAGAGCTGGCACAACAAGTCACATCTTTCCACTAGAGCTGGCACAACAAGTCACATCTTTCCACTAGAGCTGGCACAACAAGTCACATCTTTCCACTAGAGCTGGCACAACAAGTCACATCTTTCCACTAGAGCTGGCACAACAAGTCACATCTTTCCACTAGAGCTGGCACAACAAGTCACATCTTTCCACTAGAGCTGGCACAACAAGTCACATCTTTCCACTAGAGCTGGCACAACAAGTCACATCTTTCCCTGGAGTGCCTTTCTTCCTCCATGCCTTCAGAAGCTCTCCTGCTCCAAGCCCATCCCAGTGGGGATCAAGGTGCCCATCCCACCTCAACTTGCTTCCAGCTGCTCGCTCACCTACACCACCCACCTTGTGAGTGCACCAAACCAGCAGTACATTTGGCATCTCACCCTGCTGCTGCGTCACCACATTGGACTGCAACTGTGTGTTCGTAGACTGTGATGCTAAGTGCTTTCTTGACTGTAACATCTTGTAACTTGATTGAATTAAAACTGGTAACTGGATGTGCATACAGGGCGACAGCTGTGCATCGATTGCTGTGCTGTTTGGTTTGAGCGAGGGGTGCCCCGTGGAGGGCGAGGCATGCGAGGAGGCGTTGGTGGCGCTCAACCCGGGGATGGACTGCACAAAACTCACGGGCAGGCAGGCTGTGTGTGTGGAGCGGGAGGAGAGCAAGGCGGGGATGGTGGCAGTGTGTGACCAGCTGTATGAAATGGGGGGAGGTGATGGCTGCGATGCTGCGAGAAAAGCAGTGAATCCGCCTTTGAGCCCTCTAGAGTTTTATCGCCTCAACCCAGGAATCAACTGCAACAACCGCCTGCCGACTGCCACGTTTGAGGGCTTCTCACAGCGCAAGGTGGGCCATTTGTGTCCCTCGTTGGACGTGATGCAACTTTAGATTGCATACGCTGTGCGTTTTCATCCTTCTAAGCCTCCGCCCCTTGAATCCCTTCCTGCAGGTGTGCATTCACAGCAGCACCAGGTTCAGAATTGGCACATGCCCAGGGGGCACCTACAACATTTCAGCTGGAGACACCTGTGACAAGATTGATGTGCTGGGATTTGCTAGCATCAAGGGCTGCTACAGGAAGATGAATGGATTCGAGTGCTTGGAGAAGACACCTGCTGGGACAATTGTCTGCACTCCCAACGCTTCTAGTGCCAAAGTGGGGATATGTTCAGCTGGGGTATAGGTAGATTTTCAGCATATCCTTGACACCACATAATCCCTGTGCGTTTATTTGGCTACGTTACCGTAATCACCAGGACATACCACCCAGGGGTCTTGCTTTATATACATTTTAAATGGGGTGTGTCTTCTCAGTGGCAAAAGTTTTTAAATGAAAGAATATGTTATTTATAAAGGTAACTTTGATTTTCCCATAGCTGGTTCAACATCACAGCTTGATGCACGAGTGCAAATTTTGGCGACAATAGTTTCACCTCCTTGACGATGCCAAATGGCACCTCTTTGGCAACTTGACTGAGCGAAATATTTACCAACACGACAACAGCGTAAAAAATGGGAGGGAGGGAAACTTTGCGGATATATATTTATATGGGATGGATTTTTGCAATGCCCCCTATAATTGCTCCTACTCGTTAAAAGCTACCCTATAGGATAGAAGGTTTTTATATAGACTCATCCCAAAGACGGAATATATCGGAAAGGAGCCTAAATAAAGCACCCACCCGCTCAAGCCACACGAAGGGTCTTTAATTTTAGCGAGTGGAACGTACGTGTGATTGCAGCAGTATTAGAGGGTACCATAATCCCTTCGGCCCGCTAGGAAGAGAGTCCTCAAAGCCTCTCATGCCAAACAAGGTCTTCCATTACGGTATAAATCTGAGAGGACCCCTTTTTATACACTGTTAATGTTCTAATGGCCCCCTTCGTCGAATATTTTGTGCTTTTAGTGCCCTTGGGATGTTTGCACGCCAGGTTTTAGAGGGGCGAAAATTTGACATGTGGCGTGGTCTTAGTGTCAAACTCGAAATTTGACACATGCAGTGCCTCTGCTATACATCAAACATGACACTCAGTAGATTTTTAGGTGCTCAATATGTATAGCACCAATGATCGTATATAGAAAATACTGTTAGAATCTAGCGGGAATGAGAATGACTAGAAAGAGGGGAGTAGAAATGCTAACCCTAAAGTGTTGTACTCCCTAAGGCTAACCTTACTATAGCCTAACAATAATATACAGTTTGACACACCCCCATAGGCAAAGTGAGGTATAGCAGGAACAACAAATGGTCACAAGACTGATTAAGAGAAGAAACAAAACAGAGCTCACGGTGGATCGCAAGATCACCACACAGTCCCACTGCAAGTGAGTAGCTACAAGGCCAGTTCACATGCAGTGTTATAATAGCAATAGCAGTACAATGATCACAACCTAGAAAGTATACACATGCAGGTATGTATGTCTATCAGAATACATGAAGTGCAAGACTAGATCAAGAGGCAAGCAAGCGAGGCAGGATAGGCACAAGACCATGCGCAATACAGAAACGCTGATGATCACTAGAACCAAGGGCCTTGGTGAAAATATCTGCAGTGTTGGCCTCTGAGGCCACGTGGGAAAGGCGAAGCTGACCACGCTGCTGCAACTCTCGCACGAGAAAGTAACGAAGGGCAATGTGCTTCGTTCTGTGCTCCTGCTTTTGCTCCTGACATAAGGCAATCATGGCCTTGTTGTCAACAAACAGGACCGGAGGAGAACGAGGCCGTCACCCAAGTCGGTGAGCAAGTAGGTCAGCCAGCGTAACTCGTGCGCAGCCATTGCCCCAGCATAAATCTCAGCCTCACAACTAGAACTGAGCACTGAAGACGAGCGAGTGGACCTCCACGAGACAGAGCCAGTGCCGCGACTAAACATGTAGCCCTGTGAAGACTGGGAAGTAGCCCGGTCGTCGGCCCACGAAGCGTCCGAGTGCCCTGTGAGCATAACTGAACACCCTCCCCCAAGCTTGATGTACTGGCCAAGCAACGCAACACCCTCCTAACAACCCGTCAGTGCTCAGGGGGGTGTCTCCCAGGCGCAACGTAGTGAGCCAGGATGCTAAGAGGGTACGCGAGGTCCGGCCGAGTGCACGTCATCAGGTGCATGAGGCAACCCACAAGTTATGGATACGGACCACTAGGCTCTACGGACTCGTCATCAAGGGGAGTATTGGAATAACTAAAAGTTATAACGACCCCAAAGGTATCGCTATAGCAAAATATCTCGTAACAAGGGAATGCCTAAACCACTACAGCGTTAGCTCATATAGAGCACGCACTAGTCGAGTGGTCAACAATCGAGAGTGAACTGTCCTGAATGTTGACCATCCTGAACTAAAGGTTGCGATCTGCTCAAAAGTTTGCAACCGTCTTTGAAGGCTACGCGCTGCAACAACGTAACTGCAGAAGATCACAATTGGCATTGCAAATATACTGATGACTGTGATACAATCACTAAGGGAATGTTGTTATAGTCACATTAGTCTCGAATGTGCCAAAAAAGCAAGATAGAATGCACAGATAGAACGGTTATTGCGTACTTATTTGTTGCGCTATAAATTTAATCCAAAGCCTTGATGACGTCTATAATAAGCAATTTAAATAGACTAAATGACGATTCAGTAGTTTGAGCAAACAGTGGTCTAGCAGCTACCACAGTCATAGAATATGAATTACGAAGAAGTTACGAGGTAGGAATGACTTGCATCCTCTACAAACCCCAATACCCAAGGTTCAGGGAGGTGGAGTAGTGCCACATTGTCCTCAACCACGAAGGGTTTCGAAACTATTCACCACAAGGTCCTACACTAAGTGAAATGTTACATTACACAACGCAATGTAAACTATTTTCACCATCTTGATGTTTACTCGTTTAGCGAGCTCTGAAATCACAGAAAACTTGAAACCAAGACTCTTATTGTTTAAGATATTTTATTTTATTAGTTGTTAGAAGCTTGCTGCACACACCTACGACACGCTGAACGTTCGACACACAACAAAATAAAAAATTGCACACGACACGCAAACGACGACGTGACACTCGAATCACGATAACACGCTTTGATTCAGTACACACATTTGACATCATGACTCATCATTGTCACACTCATTTAAGCATGAGATATGTGTTATCTTGTGCTCTCACGCCATTCCATACAAACACACACGCATACAAGGACAACAACCTGAGTGTAAACCATGAGGTTGCACCAACAAACTCCCCATCGGATTGTTGTCCATAGGATTTGTTCCAGTCAGATTGAAACACTTCCAATGCTGCTGTTCAACCAGCCTCTTCGTCACCATGTCAGCTTGCTGCGTCGTCGCCTCCAATAATGCAATTCAACTTCACCGTGACCACCATCCTCCCCACCCAATGCCATTTCACTTTCATGTGCTTTTGAGGCCGCGCAACACAAGATTCATGGCTAATGCAGTATCACCTTGGCTATCACAATAGAGTGGGGATCTCCTACCAACTCAGCCAACAAAAAGCCGCTGCCGCACAATTTCTTGTATGGCACGAAAGCGTGCCATGTACTTGGACTCGACCGAGCTCAGTGCTTGGTCAACCCATTTCTTGCTCTCCCAAATAGTTGAGCTTCCATCAATACAGTAAATGAAGCCTCCCACACTTGTCTTATCCTCTAGTTTCGATGCCCAACAGGCATCGGAGAATGCGCTGAGGAACAAGCGCCCCGGTTCGACACCATCCGCGCCCTTTTCATGTCTTTGTGCAGCCCAACGGCCAAGATACTTGGCCACCCTCATTCCAGCTTCTAACTAGTAGCAATAGCGTCATCTGGTTGGGTGTTTAATACCGCACACATGAGGCTGCCCACCAACGAGTAAAAATGACACCTCTCCTCCTCACCAATACTCTCCTCCTCTGATACCTTTTTACCCTTGAAAGCAGAGGGCAAGGGAGTAGCCACGTGGCCTTCACTCTGCCAAAAGTTTGGAGCCAGGGCTTCCAGGTAGTTCCGTTGATGCGCTTGCATCTACCGCTTCCCCACATCTTGTTCAATGTGAAGCCCGAGATAGTAGCTCACATCATGAAAGCCCTTGCACTTGAGCTTATCTTGAAGTTTCTGTTATGGTCACAGTAGGCTTTAATGTGCCTAAAACGGAAGATAAAATGCGCAGTCAGATTTCTGCACAGCGGCTTCAAACGTTCATAGCGATCTGGTCAGACCTCCAAATGACCTCATTCAACTTGGATCTGGAGCGACTTGACGTTCTATACAATAGGCAATTTAGATCGCATGATTTCATCAAGAATTGACGACACAGCGTCGGTTTGAACGAACGGCACTATGGCAGCAACATAGTCTTAGAACACAAAGTTACGAACAGCTAGGAAGAGTTACGAGTTGGGAAGGACTCCCAGCTCCTACAAACCCCAAGAACCGAGGTACAGTGATGGGGAACAGTGCCACACTGTCCCCAACCAAGAAGGGTCTCGAAACTACCCTCCACAAGGGCCTACACCCATAGAAATGTTACACTACAAATTGTAATGTAACTATCTTCAATATCTTGAGGTGTAGCCTTTTGGTGAGCTTCGAAATCACTTGAAGCTTGCAACCAAGGCTCGGGTTCTTCACCACAAACTCATCCTTGAGTTCTTGATGGGTCTGCTGCACACACCTGCGACACGCCGAACGTTCGACACAGGACAAAATAGAAACCGCGCACGGGACACACGACAAAATAGAAACCGCGCACGAGACACAAATGACCGCATTAACACGCGGCTAGCGATAACTCGCTATTGACTCGACACACACACTCGACATCATGACCCATCATACGCACACCATTACAAGCATGAAATATATATTTATTTCATGCACTCATACCACTCCATGCACACACGCATGCACGCACACGCACACGGACAACAAGCCGAGTGCAAACCATAGGGTTGCACCAACAGTTTCAGCATCACATCTTTTACAAGGTCAAAGGAGGATGGGAGTATGAGGATGTCATCCACATAAACCACAAGAATGAACAAGAATGATCGGCGGACGTGGGAGTGAAACCAATCGCCTCTAAGACTACTTGCAGCTCCAAGTACCATTGCCTAGGGGCTTGCTTGAGCCTACAGTTGTTCTTCTTCAACTTCCACACTCTGCCACTGTCATAATCAAACCCCTCTGGCGGCTCCATTAAAATTCAGTCCTCAAGATAGCCGTTAAGAAACGCTGTTGTCTCGTCCATATGCTTCGCCACCCATCTTGTAGTGGCAACCCCCCGCCAGTGGGCTTCACCACACGAGCAAACACCTTCTTTAAGTCCACCTTCTTCTACAGGTATCCCTTAGCCACAAACATAGACTTGTATAACTGAATTTTGCTATTGGTACCGGTCTTGCCGGCAAAAACTTGGTGTGAAGAATATACATATTCATCAAAATCACATACCGTAATCACCCGGACATACCACCCTAGGGTGCTATGATAACTACAGCAACAAAAGGGGGGGGGGGGGGGGGGGGGGGGGGGGGGGGGGGGCGGGTCTTGTCATGGGAAAAAGCTACATAACACCCGGGTCTTTTTATACGGTATTTTTTAGTGTAAGAATTTTGATGCAAAGACGACTTGTATGTTTTCAGAATTGGTTAACATTACAGCTAGAAGCGAGAATGTGGGCTTGGCGAGAACCTTTTCACCCCCCTTGAAATTGCCAGGTGGCACTTTTTTGGCCACTTGCTAACGAGCTATCTACCAGCGTGGCAGTAGCGTAAAAGAGGGAGGGGGGTGATTTCGGAAGATTCTTCCGAAATTAACATGTAGAACATCGAGGAAGTGATTTCCGCGATGTTCTGCAGTACTAGCTAACAGCTATAATTAGAAAAATTGTAAGAAAGGGGGGTGTTATGTAAAATCATCCCAAAAGGGGGGTATAGTAGAAACGAGGTCCGCTATAGCACCCACCCCGCACAAGCCACCCAAGGGGTCTTCAATTTCGGCGGGTGGTATGTCCGGGTGATTACGGTATATGTCAGTTATTTGGCGCACACGCTGATAAATTTTACTCATTTATACATCTGGGGTATGGCAGCATAACTAAACACCTCTAAGCCTATTCATTGATATGAGATGCAATTATGCAATGCTGATGTGACAGACTGGGCTTCCAAACTTATTTTAAACTATGGAGCATATCCCAACTCGCGCAGCCGAAGCTTCGGGGGTGCAGACATTTGTCCCGAGTGGCATTCTCTCCAAGCACTCAAAGCCATTCATCTTTCTGTAGCACCCCTTGATGCCCGCAAATCCCTTCACGTCAATCACGTCGCAACTGTCCCCAGCTGCAACGCTGTAGGTGCTCCCTGGGCATTTGCCAGTCTTGTACCGTGTGCTGCTGGCAACGCAAACCTACATTAGAACACGCATGGTGATGAGTGAGTGAGTAAGCCTCGAATACTTTAGGGCACTTTGGCACCGAAATTATGTTCTCACCTTGCGCTGCAAATAATGATACTGTAAGTTGGTCGACAAGCAGTTGCAGTTGATGCCTCGGTTGAGGCGGTAGAACTCCAATGGGCTCAAAGGTGGATCCACGGCCACCATCACAGCATCACAGCCGCCACACTCCTGGACAAGGTACTCCTTATCACACACTGCCACCTCCCCTGCCCTGCTCTCGTCGCGCTCTATACACACTGCCTGGCCACGTCTGAGCTCTGAACAGTTGAGACCAGGGTTGAGCCCCACCACTGCATCCACACATGCCTGATCTCCATCCCCGAGACAGCTGTCGCTCAGATTGAACTGCTGAGCCACTCTCACACAGCTTTCCCCCTGCACACATTACGGACAAATTAGTTGATGGAGTGAAACATGTTTGCCAGTTCTGCTTCTGGTGTGTAAAAACGGAAGAAGGTTCTCTCCATGCAAAGCCTAGTACAACGAGGCAATACACTTTGGCATGGCCTACTGCTCTATGGCGTGGCTGCACTCACAGACTGGATGGTGTAGAAAAGCGAGCAATTTGGAAAAGATTGGGTCGTCTTGACAGTCAGCTTGAATCCCACTGGGATGGGCTTTGTGCACGATATCTTCTGCACGCATGAGGGGCGGAAGGATGGTTGACGGCTTGATGTGAGATATGGTGTCTCGTAACGTGGTGGTAGAATAAGAGAATACGTGCTCACCTTGTTCTGCTGCTTGAGTTGGTTGAGAGTGAGACCGAACACAGGCAGCACTTGAGAGCACCACACGTTGCTGCCAAGCACTGTGTAGCTGCCCTTGTTGTCACCTGCATGCAGCACAAAGCATGACATGAGTATGGCATACAACTAAGTTGCACATTTGTCTTATGGCTTACAAAGCTAAGATATGGAAGCAGATCTTAAACATGCTCTGTGTAACATCAGGGATACAAGAACGCTGTATCTATATTCAATGTAGACGAACAGCAAGAAAGAACAGGGGGGCGAAGAGCAGCAGAGGGGCAACGAGCAGCAGAGGGACGATGAGGAGCGTGTGAGCAGGGGGGTTAAATTGGCTGGAGAAGCGTACCAGGAGCGCAGGAGAGGGTTCCCTTGGCGGTGGTGCCTTGAACGAACCCCGGGGGACACACACAGGAGTAGCTGCCCTTGCCATCGTTCACACACGTGCCCACCACACACGGGTTGCTGCCTGCCAGCCCACAGGCGTCCACTGGCAGCGGCACGCAGGGCGGAGAGGGGAAGGGGGTGTTGAAGTGAGATATGAATAAGACAGGGCAGTCACAAGAGGGCGAGGGAGAACGACGGAGGGATGGGCTCACCATAGGCGCAGGTGCTTTTGAGTCGACTCAAAAGCAAGCTCACCATAGGCGCACGTGTTGGAGCCATCGGGGTGGGAGGTCTGGACGAAGTGGGGAGCAGCACAGGCACAGCGGTTGGATGCTCCGGCCTTGGAGCACTTGAACTGCCCACACGGGTTGAACGCGTTGCTCCCTGGCACTTCTGATGAGCCTTCCAGCATTACTGACTTGCTGCCACATGGGTCAGCAGTAGCTGCCATGTACACACCACGATGCACCACGCACCATATGAGAGACGCTGCTTAGCTAGAGCTTGTGATGCATTATAGTAAAACACGTTACACCAGTGGCATGACGGAACCAGCAACATGAATCGCAAAGATAGCAGATCCCATGACACCAACACCAACATGATTGGCACAAGAGGCATGCATGGTTCTAGTAGGAACACATATGGCAGAAACAAGGCCACACGAGACAAATCGATGAACAAAGTCAAGTACATACATCGGAGGATGGGGAAGATGCCTGGCAGTGTGTTGATGCCACAGACGCCCGGCCCGCTCTGCATGTCCATGTACATGTGCCCTACGTCCCCCCATCCTGTGCCCCATGAGTTGCGGATCACCCAGAGGGGCCCATCCAGGCTGAAAGGGCTGGATGTGCTGCCTTGCAAGGCATAGCCCACCAGCAGCACTGCGTGATTCACGCCCTCCTGGAAGCAGCCAGCATCCGCGTACTTGTATGTCTGGGGGGTGCAGGGGGGGATGGGGGGAGCTTTCATTGACGCATTTTAAGTCAATTCCTAAAGCTGACATTTGTCTCAAGACAACCTTCCTATGCGCAATTAAACCACGCCTCTACATTGCACCCATTAACTGTGTCGGTAGTTCATGGCGTCTCCCCTTCTGACAGCATGCTTTCTCACCCCGTCATACTCGAAGAACGATTGTGCGGAAGCCTCTATCCGCACAACCACTGGCTGCCGCTGCACTGCCAACAGCAGACCCAGCCATCCATCAAACGAGGACTCCTCAAAACCCTGAATCCCGTAGTACTTGACCTTCTGCAAGACAGGAAAGGGAAGGATGACAAAGTCGGGGAGTATACTAGAAAGAGCAGATGCAAAACATGTGGCCAGAGGATTAGAAATCTGAAGGGGGGATGTTCCCCAGTGCATCCAGCCACAAGTTGAGCATGCAATGCCCAGCTCAAATGCTCTGCCCTAGTTTCATTCTTCTACTTCTTTAGCTTGCAGCACCCAACCCCCCATCCTATGTCAGCAGCCATCCCCACGAACACAAGAGACCATGAGTATCCACCACTCGCTGCGACTCACCACCCCCACGTGCTGCAACTCACCGCGGCCAGTCTCTCGCGCCGGCCGGCGGACGCCATGCTGTGTGGACTGGCGGGCGCTGCTGCTGCGTCATCCACGAGCCCCCCTCCCTTGCGCGTGGCAGCCACCAGGAAGGCCAGCACATCGCGCGGAGGCATGTCGTCGCAGTTGGACGACAGGGCCAGCCGAAGCTGGTCCACCGACAGCCTGGGGGGCTGCGACCAGTTGCTGGCGATGCTGTAGGCTGCCTCTACTGCTGCCACCACCGCATATGCTGAGGAGTCGGCTGCAAGGAGCGGCAAGGAGGAGCATGTGAGGAGGGGCATGAAGGGAGGGGCATGTGAGGAGGGGCATGACGGGAGGAGGGGCATGAAGGGAGGGGCATTTGAGGAGGGGCATGAAGTGAGGGGCAAAGTGGGAGGTTCACAAGGAGGGCTCATACGGTTGCTGGATAGTTGGTCGCATGCCAGTGCAATCACCATAAGTGAATACGGTCTTATCGTGGCCCACAGTGAGGTCTTCACACCACCTATGCCCCAATGCCATATTCCATCAATCCACGCCCCATCCGTGCCATACCGCATCCATGCTGGTTCTTCACGGGCCACGTTGCCTCATTCCGCATCCAAGAAACGAAAGGTGGAAGGTTCCAATACGGCTCCGTAGCTGGGCTGTCTGTTTGAAAGGCGAGGCTGGCATAGTGGAAGGTGGAGGGCACGTTCTCTCTCTCACTGGCTCCTGCCACCTCCTCTGATGATGCCACCTGCCCAAATGCTTTGCCTGGTAAGTATTGGGGGTGGATTGCACAGAAGAATGGAGGAGCTTTAGAGATAGCTAAGGCAAGTAACTTCTGAGACAGCTAAGGCAAGAATTTCTGAGACAGCTAAGGTGAGAAACTTCTGAGACAGCTAAGGCAAGAAACTTCTGAGACAGCTAAGGCAAGTAACTTCTGAGACAGCTAAGGCAAGTAACTTCTGAGACAGCTAAGGCAAGTCTAAGATATAAGGATTTTCAAAATGCAAGAAAGGGTGCCGGTTGGTTATGCTTACCAGGGACTTCATTTTTCCAGTCCACAACAGGAAGTACGCCTGCACATACGCATTTGCACACAAAGATGCACACAGACACACGCACGCGCTCACACGCACAAACACACACACACTCACACGCACAAACACACACACACACACACACACACACACACACACACACACGCACGCACGCACGCACGCACGCACGCACGCACGCACACACACACACACACACATCTGATGATGCACATGTCTGACCATTCACATGTCTGATGATGCACATGTCTGATGATGCACATGTTTGATGATGCACATGCCTGATGGTGCACATGTCTGATGCACTAACCCGTAATGATCTTCCATGAGAGGATGTCATGCCTCTGAGTATAGTTTGTAGAGGCTGCCACAAAGCCAAAGAGGAATGAGGAGTTTCCCATGGTGGGCTTGAGCGCGCTGCAGAGAGACACTCTCGCCGTCAGCACAGCCTTGGACGGCTGCTGCCTGGAGGCTGAGAGGAAGACTCGGAGGGTGCCGCCGCTGGTGGGGTCGTAGTGGATCCAGGCGTGCTTGGTGTGGGCGTCGTTGAGGATGAGAGGGGCCGTGGCAGAGGCGAGGGACACAGGTGAGCCGCCCACATTGACGCCCACGTGGTTGTCGTTGGGGTCGCTGTGCTTCACACTCAGCACCGAGTCAAACTCCACCGCCACACTCCGCTTCCCCACCCCTCCCAGCCCCACCCCCACTGCAGCCCCTTGGGGTGCTGCAGCAGTGATTACAAACGCCAGTCCCTCTCCTGTTGTGGTGCTGCCTGCGCCTGTAGCAGCACCACCAGACGTCGGAGCAGCAGGGGTCATTTGAAACGCGAAAGAGACAGAGAAGGCAATGGGCTGGTCACAGGGCTGCTTGCTGTTGGTGGAGAGGAAGAGGGTGCTGGGTTGCGGTGTGAAGGCCGCCCCCCATGGTGCAGTGGATGGCGTCGAGGTGAGGAAGATGGAGCCGTTGGGAGCAGAGAAGGCCGACTGAAGAAAAATCATCGGGTCTTCGTAAGAGGTGAGGTGAGAAGGGATGTACGGCCCTGCAGGTGAGTGTGATGCTCAGATTGAGATAAGAAGGGTAGGAATGATTGTGGCGAAGTGAAGTGGCATGGGTGCGTTTGGATGCATCAGTAGGGAAAGGAGTAGAGGACCGTCGAAAGGGTGCGTGAGGTTAAAACAGTGGGTAATGTGGGATGGCCCGTACATAAGTGATTAGCAACAGCGATCGTGTTAGCCTTTCAAGACCAGATTGGTTGTCAAGAAGAGAAGAGATAGAAGGCACATCTGATAAGCAAAAAAAAAGCACCCTCCTTGCCTTACCTTGCGGGGTGCAGGCATTAGGAGTTGCACCGGTGTAACCGTAATTGCAAGCGCAGGTGGGAGCAGATGTAACCCCGGGCAGGAAGTAGCAGACCCCATGGCCGCTACAAGGTGGGCTCAAGGGCTCGTTCCCACACCACCACTTGCACCAACCAGCTTCTTTCTGAATTTGCTGGGCGTCACAGATGGTGAGGTTGCTGGCAAAGCAGTTTGAGTCCAGCAGCAGCCGGTATGACGGGCATGCGGGAGGTGCCTCTGCTACAGCTGTGATATAGTTGCCCCGTGCAGCCACAGCCCTGAGCGCTGTCATGCGCTTCAGAGAGGGCAGCTGCCCCACCAGCTGGTTGCTGTCCACCTCGCTGCGCCAACCCACACAGAAGGAATGGAGCGAGTTTCAGGGGGGCGGAGGGGAGCATCAGCGAGGCACGAAGAGAAGGGTATGGTGGAGAGGTGGGTGAGGCCGACTGGGGAAGAGGGAGTGTGCGGCACAGCGTGTTGAAGATACGCAGGATGGAAGCACTGGCAAACACACGCATGGATAGTGGGAGCTTGCTTACAAATCGGTCAGTGCCGTGTGAGACGAGATTGTGGAGGTGCATGGACGGTAGGTGCGTGCTTACAGGTACTTGAGGCGAGTGAGTGTGCTGACTGCGGCAGGGATCGTTCCCGCAAGGAGGTTATTAGACAAGGATCTGAATGGTTTGCCAGAACAGGAAAAATATTGGGTGTGGGTTGAATGGACTGTTCCTCCTCTTGTATGTTTGCTTGGAAGTCGTGACCACACTGGCAGAATGATATGCGAGTTTCCCCGGCCCTCACTCATCCTAGAACCTGGATACTCGTTCTCTGCTTATGCATAATCAACAGCAGACACAGCATTGCTGAGAGAAAGCAAGAGCGAGCTTAGGCGCACAGGGTAAGGAGTTTGTTGAGGTTGACCAGGGAGCAAGGAATGGTGCCAAGCAGCCAGTTTGATTCCAAAAGCCTGCCATGATGTAACATGAGATGGCACTCATTGGCATGGGATGTGACATAAGATTGTCCTTGTTGTGAAAAGGGACTCTAATGCCCGTGCTACCATAGTGCTTGCCTTTCCATCTACCGCAACTGTTCTTCCAACTGACAGTCGGGCCTGGTCATGGCATCTCGCATGCGCTTCTCTCGCTTTTCTGCGGCTGAAACTTGGTACAAGGCCAAGACTCTCACATGCTGCTATGAATAGGCTCGTTCAACCTACACCTTAGGACACAACTATGCAGCCTGCCTTCTTACAGAAATTTCAGGCTAGTCAATTCTCCGAGTGATTCAGGAATAGATCCTGAGAGCTGGTTGTAATCGAGAGCTCTGAGATGTTGTGGGTAAACGAGATAATGGGAGGGAGCAAGGCATATGGGATGCAACAAGAGAAGATTGAAGGACTGAAGGAGTGGCAAATGTGTGATGTGGTAGAGAAAAGGAAGAAAGGAATCAAGCAGGTGAGGAGAAAGAGAGAACAGGAGGGGAACGGAGGGCAGGAATATTGAGGTGGATGATCAAATCAAGGCCCCCCCTATCACCACGCCAGCCTCTCAATGCAACACACCTGTAGTTCACCCCTTACAGTTCCTCTGGCCCTCGCTCTCCCTCGCTCACGGAACGAAACAGCAGTTCTTGGAACTTCACCGCTCTGCACTCCATCACATCACAGCGTGCGTCACTGTCCCCCCCCAGCTCACGCACAGGTATGTCAAGTCGTGTAGATTGCCCAGCGTCTCTGGTATGGAGCCGTTAATTCGGTTCTGGCTGAGGCTACTGAAGTTGGTGGGGGGGTAGCGAACAGCAAGAAAGAAAAGGGGAAGGATGAGATGGTTGGAAGCAACGAGAAACCGGAGAGAATAGCAGGAGAAGAGAGCAATGGCAATGGGAAGGGTGGAGATTATGGAAGATGCGTTCAGAAAGAAGAGGGAGAGTATTTGCAGGAAGCAGTACACGGAGTTATAGCTTTACTCCTTGCAGCGGTGGCACTACTCAGAACTAGTATGCGAACATGCTTCTAGAGTTCACACGAATCACCACTATACACCTGAATTACAACAGTCCCCCCCCCCTCCAACCTACCCCATGCGAATTGTTGTGCATGTATGTGCCAAGATGCGGTATGGCACAGTATGGATACCAGCGACAAGCACAATAGACAAGCTACAATTACGGGTCTAAAAGCACCATGAGTAAAAGCAACGTATGGACGAGAAAAGAGGGGATGGACAAACTAGAAAGGCAGAAAGGAGGTGTGGGAAGAGAGAGAAAGAAGAAGTGAAAGGTGAGAGTGGGGGTAGATGTTCGCGTGGATCAACATCATGACAACGAATGTGTTTGACCGTGTGATTGTCGTGTATTCCGTCAAAGCGCTTCACGTGCTTCACGCGAAGAGGTGGAGTGTGGTGCATGGCGACACACACAGGGAAATCAACGACGTCAAGCTGCCAATCCAAGCAGGCATCTCCATTTCCAGCTGGTTGTTACTCATGTCCCTGGCATGTGAACAAGGAGAGGAGAGTAAGGCAGAGAACAGGCTGTGCAATAAGGGAAAGCGAGATGGGTGAGATCGACTGGAGAAGAGGGAGTGTGGGGCACAGCGAGTTGAAGATATTCCTAGAGGGTTATGTATTTTCAGGTGCCTCAAAAACCGACTCAGTTCACGAGGTTTTTACGTGGGGAATATTCTCATAGCATGGAGGTGTGCAAGTAACCTGCAAAAGTTACTTGTGCGAACGAAGGTACCAAGGGTTATAGATAGCCCTGTCGAAGACAAGTCCAAAGGCAGACATTTGTAGCCTTTTTTTTTTTTACCCTGTTCTGTGTTGGAGAATGCCCATTGTTAGGCAATCTGGGAAGTTGAGATTCTAGGTTTCTGTTCGCGGTGTGGGTTGATACTTAGCTCATACCTAATGGTAATTCTCATTCGTTCAGAAGCACTGATGAAGGCTTGAAGGGTTTTCCCAGCCTTGCCGAAACATGTTCGCGACAAGTTCTTTTTCTGTGAATACAGTTCGTGCAACCAGACTTCTCTTAGCTCGGTCTCTCTTTTTCTTGCTAAAGCATTGCTGCCCTTCCACCATGAGTGACAATGACCCGTGAGGTCGACTGGGGAAGAGGGAGTGTGCGGCACAGCGAGTTGAAGATATTTCTTGCGGAGCTACGCCGGACGGAATGGAAGCACGGGACTGGAGGGCAAAGGAGCATTGGAGTTTCCGTAGCACTCCATGAGGGCGGTGTACAGGTGTGGCGAGGAGAGGATTGCGTATGACTGGCAAACACACGCATAGATATTGGGTGCTTGCTTACAGGAACACGCGATTGTGGGCGCACGCTTACAGGAACATGAGGCAAGTCAGTGTGCTGAACGCGTAAGGGATCGTTCCCGCAAGGAGGTTATTAGACAACAACCTGAATGGTTGGCCAGAACAGGAAAGATAATGGGAGTGGTTTGAACGGACTGTTCCTCAAAATAATGAGTCGACTCAAAAGTCAGAATGATATGTGAGTCCCCCAGCCGTTTCTCATCCTAGAACCTGGATACTCGTTCTGTGCTGCGTAATCAAAAGAAGAGACAGCATTTAGTGAGCAAACAAGAGCAAGCTTCAGCGCACAGGGTAGTGAGTTTGTTGAGGTTGGCCAGGGAGGCAGGAATGGTGCCGAGCAGCGAGTTCGAATCCAAGAACCTGCCATGTTGTAACATGAGATGGCGCGCATTGGCATGGGACGGGACATAAGCGTGTCCTTGTCGTCACTCTAGTGCCCCTGCTACCATAGAGCTCGCCTTTCTAACTATCGCAAATGTTCATCAATGGAATCTCGCATGTGCTTCTCTCGCTTTTCTGCGGCCGAAACTTTATACAAAGCCAACCAGGCCGAGACTCTCACACCACATGCTGCTCTGTCTAGGCTCGTTCCCCCTACAGATTTGAATACAACAATTTAGCCTTCCTTCTTACAGTAATCCCAGGCTAGACAATTCTCCAAGTGATTCGGGGATAGATCCTGAGAGCTGGTTGTAATCGAGGGCTCTGAGATGTTGTGGGTAAACAAGAGAGTGTGGTGGAGCAATGCGTATGGGACGCAACAAGAGAAGATTGAAGGAGTGAAGTAGTGGAAAATGTGTGATGTGGTAGAGGACAAGAAGAAAGGAAGCAAGCATGTGCGGAGAAAGAGAGAACAGGAGAGGAACGGAGGATAGGGATACTGAGGTGGACGATCATTTCAAGGCCCCTTCATCACCACTCCAGCCTCTCAATGCGGCACACCTGTAGTTCACCCCTCACAGTTCCTCTGGGAGAACCCCTTGCACTCCAATAGGTCCTCGCTCTCCCTGACTCACTGAACAAAACAGCAGTTTTTGTGAACCCACCACTCCGTTACACTGCAGATGTTTCTGCTCTAACGGAGAGCTCTACGGAATGCTCTCTGCGTAGACACGTGTGTGGCAGTTCACTAAGGAGAAACTTTGTTGAAGTGTTGAAATGCCAGATTGCACACAAAGAACTTCACTAGAATGTAGAAAATAGAGTACAATAAAGGGTGGAATAGAAACTACCCAACTACTGAACCACAATTGAATGTTCGCACAATCAATGTTTAACTAACTACTTTAAGCTGCACTTTGCCAAGTCAGCATCGGCAGGTGAATTTTACAACAGATGCTTATTGGTATATTTTACCTACCTAAAAGTAGTTGTTTTAGCTGTTTGGGTTGTTTTACCTACCTAACAGCTTCTGTAACTCACGTTTTCGTATGTACGAAAACGTGCGCCAGGTTCAATTTGTTCAGGTGGTCCAATTTTGCCCAAAACTGAACACCCCAGCTTCACGAACTGTTCCCGAGGGTCAATTTCTCAATGTCAGAATTTCCTACGAAATTCTCCGAAGGGTGCAAGAATTCGCAATTTCCCTCTACGAGGGGGTCCACTTTCGAAGAACTCTTTTTCTGCAGACGCGCCCTTCCCTGCAGCGAGATCCAACTTTCGCTTTGGCGAATTCTCCCTCTGCTGCAATGATCCCTTTCGTCCTCTGCGGTGGGACCCATGTTTCGCTTCGGTGAAAATCCCCTCCACTGTAGCAAGTGACAACCCTCTTTGCAGGGCCAGTGACAGTTCTCAACACACATCACAGCGTGCGTCTCAATCCCCCCCAGCTCACGCACAGGCGCGTCAAGTTGTGTAGATTGCCCAGCGTCTCTGGTATAGAACCTTTGATACGGTTGTCGTTGAGGCTACTGAAGTTGTTGAGTGGGGAGAGAGCAGCAAGAAATAAAGGGGGAAGGATGAGACAGTTGGGGGCAATGAGCAACCGGAGAGAAAAGCAGGGAATGAGAGCAATGGCTTGGGAGAGAGTGAGGGTCAGAGGAGATAATGGAAAATCTGATCAGAAAGAAGAGGGAGAGAGTTTTTGCAGGAAGCAGTACAAGCAGTTATAGCTTTACTCCTCATAGCGGTGACACTACCCAGAACTAGTATACGAACATGCTTCACGAGTTCACACGAATCACCACAATACAGCT